TCCCTCTCATGGGGCATGGAAGGACTTCAAATAGAGATCAAGTTTATGTACTAAGACATAAGGCGCTACTCTCTCTGTAGTGGAGCCAGATGTGGTTCTGAGGCTGAGTGCAAAGGACACATCTTTGGAAAAGAGACTCAAGTCGCGTGCTGATTTCCTTCAGGTCACTTCTCCTCTGAGCCCTCCTCTGTTGTTAACTGTGTTCCAGCCTAGTTTTGTCTGGAGAGTTAGCGCAGTTTACAAAAGGCTCAGAATGAATTAAAGATCAAAGAGTGGGGTTTTGAAAAGCCATCTATGTCATTTGCAATACATGTGAGGCACACACAGACACACATTCCCAAGCAGGGGTCAATTTTAATTTGATTTTAACATTCTCTGGTTTATGGAACTTTAGGGGATATATTTTAATTTTATAGATACTTCTGCACTCATAATCTCTCCCAAATCAACACAATGCAATATGTTCTCATTTAGCTTATATTAACTCACCGTATGTGTGTAAAAGACTGAAAGCCCCCTCTTATATCCCATAGTATGTGTTTCAAGCCCCCTAGTGGATGCCTGCAATCACATATAGTGCCACATACTGCTTTCTCCTATTCACACATACATAACTATGTTAAAGTTTAACTTATGAATTAGACTTCTTAGGAGATTGACCATTATAACAAAATGGAATAATCATAACAATATGCTATGAAAACACTTTGTAAGAGTGATCTTTATCTCTGTCACTTGAGATAGCTTATGCCGGCATCACTAGTCTTGCACTTGATTGCTATTATTAAGTAAAATAAGAGTTACTTGAACTGAAGCCCTGTGATACTGTGATAGGTGGCCTAGAAGTGAAACAGCGACTGGGCAAACGGGCAGGTGCATGGATACTCAGAACCAAGGGATGATCCACATCCCTCAGGACAGGCAGGATGGCATGAGTGTTCATCAGGCCCCTCAGAAGAGCATGTCATGTAAAACTTATAGGTTGTTTATTTCTGGAATTTTCCACATGATAGTTTTAGACTGTGGTTGACCGCAGGGAGTGAACCTTAGATAAGGGGGGACTACAGTGTTCCCAAGATTGCAATGTCTACTTTTTATCAGGAGGCAATAATTAGTGCTCAATAAAGCAATAGGTGCCAATCCTCATACATAGGACCTTGTTTCTTTCAACTGAAAACAAATTGAGGCATAAAAAAATAGAACAAGATTAATAAAGTCATAAGTGGAGCATGGCTGGTACTACTGCATGGAATGCTGGTAGGAGTGTTGCAGTCCATCCATTGTGTATGTTCCCAGGACCAGTGTGTGTAGGTCTTCCATGCACGTGATACTGAGCTAGGACCATGTTGTGTTAACCAGCAGCTTATTCATTTATCTACTTTCATTTGAAAAACTCCCAATCTAGTCTTGGTCCCTTCTCCAGTAGGACCGTCCCACTGAATATGCCTGCCAGACTCAGCCAGGGACAGAAACTGCAACCTTGTTGTCATTGACACTGATGTTCCTGCCAGGGTCGCTGTTGAGCCTTGGGCATTGTGAGGAGGCGAAAGGCTTCCTGTCTTCAGCGTGCTCACAGACAGTGGCCAGCATAAGCTCACAGCTCAGGAGCGGGGGACTGCGCAACTCCTGTATCATACAGTCAGCAATGGAAGCAGGCTCATAAGCCAGCAGCATGTTTGCTCTTAAATCACCAATGTTTTCCATTTCCCCAGACAATTATGAATACCCCATTTTTATTAGTATGATCAGGGGATAAATTATTTTGTGCAATCCAGACATTGCCCCGAGAGAGACATACTGGGAATTTCCAATTTATATAAAAGTTGTTTTTTCCAGAAGTTTACATCATTTATTTTGAGCCCAAGCTGCAGTTCCCCAGAGGAAAAAAGTGATATGTGGCAATAACAACTCACATTTCAACAACCCGTGTTTGCTGGACCTTCAGGGTAGAAAGAGCCCAAGGCCATCTTTTTTACCTTTCTGGTACCTTTCTTTCTTTTTGTATCTGTGAAAATCAACTTACGTATGAATGAAAAACGATATACAAAATTGTGTATTACATCATCCCAGAGTCTAGTATTGATCATTTAATTCTAATGTCTTATTTTAATTTTTATGTACTTTTTAAAGATTTATTTATTTTTATTGCAAAGTCAGATAGACAGAGAGGAGGAGAGACAGAGAGGAAGATCCTCCATCCGATGACTCACTCCCCAAATGAGCGTGAAGCCAGGAACCAGGAACCTCCTCTGGGTCTCCCACACAGGTGCAGGGTCCCACGGCCTTGGGCTGTCCTCTACTGCTTTCCCAGGCCACAAGCATGGAGCTGGATGGGAAGTGGAGCAGCCAGGATTAGAACCAGCGCCCATATGGGATCCCGGCGCATTCAAGGTGAGGACTTTAATCACTAGGCCATGCCAGCAGGCCCTAATTCTAATGTTTTAAGAAGTTATTTGAACAGGAATCAAATCAGACACATGGAGATTCTAAACAGTTTTTGTAGAAAAGAAAACTGAAAGGCTGAATGACAGAAGGTTTTTGTACGCTGGCTCATTTACTTGCCAAATAGCTGCCACAGCCACAGCTGCGTCAGGCCAAAGCTAGAGCCAGGAAATCCATCCGGGTCATCGACATGAGTGGCAGAAATACATATGGTCAGGCTGTGTCTGCTGTGTATTCGTAGAGCTGGAGCAGAGGCTGTGCAGCCAGGACTCATGTTAATCATGAAGGTAGCCAGGGAAGCAGCTTCATATGCCGCATGATGCTCTCCCCCTCAAAACAATCTTTGCACTTTTCCCACCCCCCACTTCCCTACATATTATATTTCCTCCCTGCGTGCCAGCAACTGAAACAGAGCAGGCCCTCTAGCAGAACTCTTCATCGCAACATGTACACAGGTACTTGCAAATACTTGTGGAAGATGAAAAAACTAGGGATTTAAATTTCTTTTTTGCACCAAAGCCATCTTTTTTCCATCCTTTAATTCCATTTTTCATAAATATTTCAGAGTACCCTGGTACTAGTAGGCAAGTTATTAGAAAGCCTATTTCTGGTAAAATGAAATATTAATCATTTCTTTATCTGTCACTTATTGCTAAAACTAGCACCCCAACAGCTTTAAGCCCAAATCTGCTGACACTTTGTAATGACCAAGTGAGTCTGCTGACCCCATGGAGAAAAGTCAGAAGCCAGCTAACGTGGCCTGGGCTTCCCTTCCTTCTGCCGAGGCTGCCTTCAGGGGCCACTCCCTAGTGATGGGCGGCAGAATCCTCACGCGGGATCCAAGGCGGAACTTCCGTGGCTGTGGCAGGCTTACCTCCAGCAAATGCCTTAGAACACTGCCGAGGCTGTGGGCGTGGTGAGCCCGGGCTAACCAGGAGGTTGGGGAGAGGGGAGCAGTGCCTTTGAAGACACGGATGGCCTGCAGGCCAGTGCAGAGGTCAGTGGACGTGTGATAAACATTCAGGACTAGGGTGCATTTTGCAATCGGAAGGAGACACGAAAGCAGAAAAATCCAGATGGGAGTGAGAATGCTGGGTAATGGGGATTGGGAGCTGGTGGGTGGCTTTTACGAGTTCTATTCCTGGATCATGTCTAAATACTTGAATGCGAATGCAGAGCTGAATGGTGAGTCGAGACCGCACAGACATCTGCTACTCCAGGGGCGCAGCGAATCCTGGCGGTGGCATGACCGCTTCCAAAGGAGCAGCGAAGGTCAGGAGGAACCCCAGAACTCTGTTGTTGTAATCCGTGATATATGCACGGATGTAGAATATAAAACCGTATTCTCTCTATAACTGTCCGTTTCCAGGAAAGTATGTTGCTGTCTTTTTAAGGATTCAAGTCTAATCCCTGTCCTGGATAATTACAGAAGACAGGGAAAGTATTCTCAGACAACTCTATGTTCCCACATATAGTGAGATGCCACGACATGCCTAAAGTGCAGTTATTACTTTTTAACAGTAGCTTCAGTTCGTTTTACTGCTTCCAGTCTCTGAAAGCCTGAGTTTTAAAGATTCAGGAACTTCTCGCGTGTGGTTTTGGCGTTTTAAAAAAGCTTTATGGTCAGGCATATAGCTTTGTTCATACAACTTTGCCTGTTTTATCTGCTTGCTATAGCTCCCCCTGCCGTCCGAGTGACTCGACAGAAAAAGCTTTGAGGGGAAATAGAAAAAAAAATTTTTTTAGATGATTACTAGCCGTTGTATTTATTTCAGAAAGACAAACTCAAACTTCTGCTTATCGATGGACAATATATGGGCAATTGATTCACAGTGCCAGGCCAACTTTAGGGCGCCTGAAAGCACTGTGTGGGCATAGTGAGACCAGGCTGGCACAGGGCGGGGGCGGCCAGGTTGATGGCTTCCTGGCCACGGGAGGGGTTAGTGGAAGAGTACAGAAAAGCATTTATTATAGAGTTTATTTTTATAAAATGATATACAGTATTGTATGTATTTAAAAAGCATTTGGTACCACTTAGGGCCACACTCACGTATTTAAAATACATACATGCCTCTCAACTGTGTATTTTTAAGTTTGCATGTGTTTAAGTCATTGGCGATTCAAGATGTAAGGGGAAGAAAAAACGAGGTTACAGTAAATCTTCAATAGAAATCAGCTGAATTTACTGAATAATGAGTTGACCGCACTGAAGGCAAATGACCAATCCAAATCAGCCAAAAATAACTTTGAGTCAGATGTTTTCCATCTTTCAACTTGCTGGTTCTGACAGTTTCTTCAAAATTTGCTACACATCAGAAGCCTGATAACTGGTCAAAAGTGGGCTTTTGTTTCTGTTTTTGTTGTTAAAACGAAGTACGACTCCCGAGGGTCGGGCACAATGGTAGCCTGGCTGGTTACACCTGTGCGCAGCTGCGCCCCGGTTGCTGCTGGAGTGTGGGGTGGCCCTCGGCGGCCGCGGGCTCCTGCCGGCCTCGTCGCGCGGCCCACGTGGCTCCCAGGCGCTCTCTGAAGCTCTCCGTCTTCCTCTCTGCCCGCAGGGACCCGCTCAAGATCCAGCAGCTGCAGAAGCAGATCCGCCTGGAGCAGGAGGCCAGCGCGCGGCACTCGGGCCCTCCCTCTCCGCCCTTCCCGCCGCCGCCCGCCTTCCCTGAGCTCGCGGCCTGCGCGTCGCCCGCCTCCCCGGAGCCCATGAGCGCACTCGCCTCCCGCTCCGCCTCCGCCATGCAGTCCTCCGGCTCCTTCAACTACGCGCGCCCCAAGCAGTTCATCGCGGCGCAGAACCTCGGCCCCGCGTCGGGCCACGGCACGCCGGCCTCCAGCCCCAGCTCGTCCAGCCTCCCGTCGCCCCTGTCGCCGACGCCCAAGCAGTTCGGCCGAGCGCCCGTGCCGCCCTTCGTGCAGCCCTTCGGCTCCGAGGCCGAGGGCTCCTGGGGCCCGTCCTCACCGTCGCCGCCGCCGCCGCCGCCCCCGGTCTTCAGCCCCAGCGCGGCCTTTGCGGTGCCCGACGTGTTCCCGCTGCCGCCGCCGCCTCCGCCGCTGCCCAGCCCGGGCCCGGCCTCGCCCTGCCCCGCGCCCGCCGCCCGCTTCGGCCACAGCCAGCAGACACCTGCGGCCTTCCTCAGCTCCCTGCTGCCCTCGCAGCCGCCGCCAGCTGCCGTCAACGCACTGGGGCTGCCCAAGGGCGTCACCCCCGCGTAAGTGACAGAGCCTCCTGGGTCCTACGCTTCCTCAGTGCCCTGGAACCCCAGCACCCCGTTTAAGATGCCACACTGGCATTGCCCAGCACTTCTTCCCTAGGTGCCCTCTGCGTGACCACAGGGACCGTTTGCCATCCCCCATGCCGGTAATGACTACCACCAGGGTGGCCTGGGCTAGCACTGATGGGGCGGGCAGCTAAGCAGGTCTCCTGTGTTGGTTTCACCTGCCCCAGGGTCCACAGCTGAAGGAGCAGTAATTAAAGTTCAGTGGCCACCTCCCGCAGTCACGTGGCCACTAAACCTGAATTTCACCCCATGTGTGTCGACTTTCCATGGGGTTGCTTCAGTAAGCAGGAGGTTAGGGATTTAGAAAAACCAAAAGGAGCAGTCATCGAAACTTTCCCCACATTCTAGTGACTGCTTGGAAGAGAAACGAGCAAGTTGTTGTCTATCTTCCATTAAGTGAAGTGTGCGCCCTAGGATGACCTGGTGGTCTGGGGTCTGTCCCCGTCCCCAGAGCGCCCAGCTGGAGCGCAAGGCCCCTGGCTCCCAGTGGCCAGTATTTGCAGGTTCCCTTGTAACTGCCTGTGCCCGACAGTGCTGCGGCAGCCCTACCAGATCTTGAAAATGGAGCACCTCTGAGGACAGACAGGCTGACATCTACCCACGGGCAGGCAGCCTTCCACGGGAGCGCCTGCAGCAGGTGTTTGGCATGGTTGGGGAACAGGGGAATGAGGCCAAGCCGGCCCCTGTCCTAAGCATTTCAATACCTGTCTCAGCTCGGCTGGTACCCTGCAGCTCTGGCCAAAAGCCCTAGCTGTTGAGAGGAAAAGAAGGAAACGCTAGATGCAGTTATTCTCATCCAGCCATAACGTGCTCCCGTTGCAGGGGTGTCCTGGGTCACCTTGCAGGCAAGTACTGCTCTGGCCGGTCTGGCCGGGGTGGACCAGGGAGCTCTGGGTAGGCTGGGCACTTGGGAAATGTTGGTTACGTAGGTCTTATGCTTGGCATCCTGTGGGCTTCTGGCATCCTTGCTGGAAAAAGCAGAGTCAAAAGAGACGTAAGCAAGAGGGTACTTTAAAAAGCTTGTAGAAAATGCAAATTATGAAAAAGCCATGATGGCTTGGTTTTTGTTTTTTCTTTTTTTTTTTTTTTGCACTAAATTATGCTTATCTTTTAAACGATTTATTTAGAAGGCAGAATGTCACTCCTCAAATAACTTCAGTGGCCAGGATGGGCCAGGCCAAAGCCAGAAAGCTGCAGCTCCCATCTGGTCTCCCACATGGCTGACAGGGACCCAAGTGTCAGGGCCAGGACTGTTTCCTTGACACATCGGCAGGGAGCTGGATGAGAAGTGGAGTAGCTGGGCATGGGACCAACACTCTGACATGGAATGCGGCAGTCCCAACCTAGGGTCTACCCAGCTATGCCAGAGTGCTGGCCCCTGAATACACTTATCTTTGAAATTCATATTTCCACAAAATTTTTTGAAGGGACTTCTAAAAACGAGGAGAGGAATCTGCCTAGCAATGATGCCGTAACAGGTTTCTGGTGAAAATGGTCGGCTTGCCTAAAGAAAACTTTGCCTTTCTCCCATGCTTTGCTGTCATTTGTTTAGCCGACACAATATGAAGTATTGTCTTGAAGGAAATTATTAACAACAGATTTTAAAGAGTAGGAATTTGATATAAGACACTTCTCCCTAAAATGGTACCGATCCTTGCATCCCAGGAAGACACAGTAAATAATCGGTTCTGATGTCTTTCGTACAGAAGCTGAGCAAATGTTTTTAAAAGGCATTGGGTGATCCTGCCTTTATCGTCTTCAGTGAAAGCTGTGGTTTATTCCAATCTTTGTAACTGTAACGATTAGCAGCTTCCAGTAAAAGGAAGCTCATTTTATGGAGTCAGACTATTTCGTCGTTGCCACGAAAGATTTCCGTAGTTGTGTCATTTCTTAAAAGTTCATGGAGAAGCCCTGCTGATTCTGTGGCTGTGGAAAACTCCACCCAAAGGTGGTGAAGTGCTGGGACACTAGAGTGGAGTGGCCGTGCTGAACTGCACATGTCCGTCCCGGGGCCAGCCCAGTGAGCCATTCCCACATGTCACACTTTGTCTCCAAGGAATTTTGCTATTGCTACATCACATGCACTTGGCATATTCAATGGTTCAGCTGGGTTACTTGTGTCTTTTCAGGCATTATTTTCCCCTGGTGTATTATGCGATCCCTTATTTGCATTCTGAATTAAAAGCAAAAAAAAAAAAGTTGCTATTTATTCATGGTTGTAAGCCAGATGATTAGCCAAAGATTGTCCCTTTTAAGGGTGACCATGGCTAATTGGCATACTCAAGCATATAGGAACTACCAAGCTGTTGGCGTGTATGTGTGTGCGCGCACGCTTTATTGGGAATTTGTGATCGCAACAGCAAATCCAGTTTCACTTAGATGTGTTGTTTTTCTCACTGGATGGTTTTGCCATATATGTCAGGTCCCAGCAAATTGATTGATTATACCTAATTCAGGAGAGTTGGCTTTTCCCTTTGCTTTGTTTGACCAAAGTCTTAAATGTCCATGAGTCTGTTTTCTTAGTCATCTGTGGCATACTTGTCCTTGTATCCTGTTTGTGTGTTTAGCCTTGCCCTAGTGTTAATTTGAAGAATAGTTGGTACTACCCAGGTTCTAAACAGCTTGTGAAAAGGTTGTTCCTCATGTGGCTAGAGGTCAAGGATGGCGCAAAAGTCAAGGGTGCCAGTGATAGGCCCACTCATTTCTGCCTTCTTGGCTTCGTGGTTTATCTGGCACCTGCATGCCGCTGGTGGTGAATTGAGAACTGCAGGTCTTCAGTGTCTGCTTCCAGCAGCTTCCTTCTTCCCTGGGGTAGTGGGCTCACGGCCGTGCAGGTCTTGCCCAGCTGAAAGCTGCCGACACAGGTGGGACGCCGGGGCGGTTTTGCAGATGGATGCCACGAGGAAATCTGTATGCACTTTTATGAAATTAGTGTAGCCTGTTCCCCCTCAACTCCTATAATGGTTAATTTTACACCTTCTCATGGCTGTGACCCTTGGCAGGTTGGTCCTAGGAGATGATGGGCACCCATGAGCCTGGCCAGTGCCCCACGGGCCAAGGGCAAAGCCTTTCTGAGCCGGCTCTGCTCGAGGTGCGTCATGCAGGGCCCAGCCTGAGAATCGGCCGGCCTCTGGATCTTTTGCCCACATTCACAGTTCTCACCGGGGAGTGGCGCACAGCCACAGGGCTGCAGTGTTTTGTACTCTTAATTGCCTCTTTTATATCAGTAGGTCTTTGTGTATGACAAAAAGGAGCGCGTGTCAATTAAAAAATGTACTAATTGGGAGGTCCTAATGAGAGCCTTTCTTCTGCAGGCACTGGGCTCTTTGCGGGCGTGATCTCATTGTCCCACTCCTTCTCCCTGACTTAGACGAAACAAGCGGGCGGGGACAGTGTCGTCATTCTCTAGACTAGAGGTGCAGGATTTCCCAGGACTCGGGCGAGGCCTGGGGGCCGGGGAGCGGGCGGGGGGGTGGGGACCGTGGCTTAGCCATGCATGTACTGCCTTGGCGGAGCTCTAGTAAATGTGATAATTAACCAAAGCAGGTGCAGAAGGAAAGCAGTAAAATCCCAAACCTTGAGAAAAAGGATGGTAACAGATGTAGCTGTAGCTTTCACTTCACGATAGAGAATTTTAGGAAGTTTTCAAGGAAAGACAGTGGCAAGGTGGTAACCGCTGAGAAAGAACCCAAAAGACAGGAGTATTGTCACCCTGTCACTCATGAAAGCAGGTGCGGGCCTTGTCATTTGCTGGGAAGGAGAGGTTGGAGGTCCCTGGGACCATGGACTCATTAGCATCCTGTATGTAACAGCAGTCCAGAAAAAGTTGTATTCAGTCCTGGGCGTCGGGTTAGTCGGAGGGCCTCCAGGGCCCTGCATGAAGGGGTGATGATTTTGTGGATGAGTCTGTGCCCCAGGAGCTGCTGGGAGTCAGGTCGGCTGCGTGGTCTGTGGCTCGTCGTGCAGAGTTCGTGAGCAGGGCAGTCCCAAGCACCATCATCGTTTTAGAAAATGGATAATTAAAGGTGTTGATTTTCATTTCAGTCTGAGTGTAATGTTCTCATTTTTCTTTGTGCTTAAACTTTGACTTCATCATAATAAGCGAGTTACAAAAAATAGAATGGATACATAAAAACTCGGCTTCGGGATTTTCAAAAAGCATCATGCGTAGATTCCATTCTTGAATATAAAAGATGTGTAAATGCCAATTTGTTAGGGAGTTTGCTCACAAATTGTGTGTGATGTGGCCATCAGGTCTCACCGAACGCAAGGAGTGAATTCAGTAGTTAAGCTGTTTTTCTGGTTGCTGGCCTGGAAGCTGATCTGTTAAATCAGCATTGGACTGTGGAGACCTGAGTTTCTGAAATGCACTGAGAGAACTGAGTGTGTATCAAGGGGAGGATACTCGGAGATCCCCCAGCAGCACAGAGCTCTGGGGCCTCGTGCTGGTTGCCATGGCTGTGCATGTTTTGGGGTGTTTCTAGCCCCAGCCACATGAGTTCCCTTTTTGAGCTGGCAAGTGAATTAGTGTTACAGCTAGAGTAAACACATCAGTACCGTTTTGCACAGATGGACTGAGTGTGTATAATAAGTGTTTACTGAGGGAGGCCTGATGGATGTGTATTGGCGAAGGTTTGTCTCCATGTGGACTTTTCAGTTCTGATTTTGCTGACAAGTTACTTTCAGTAAGCTTTGTTTAATTGTATGAAACCATTATGAAAGGAAATCGGTTTTGTCACCAGATAACTCTTGTTTGTCTCTTAATGGGTTATCATCCCTCATTTACCTAAAGCAGGTACGCTTTGGGGAATACAACCAACTTACATTAAACTCCGACCCAGACTCTGTTTTACAGGAAAACAAGCTCACCCTGCCAAAGCTTTGCCTGAGAAAGTTCTTGTTGCTTTTCTGATGCCTCCTGTCCCAGCTCT